TCTATATATATATATATATATATATATATATATATATATATATATATAGCAAATCAGCATATTAAAATGATTTCTGATGTACCACGTGACACTGAAGACTGGAGTAATGATGCTGAAAATTCAGCTTGGCATCACAGGAATAAATTACATTTTAAAATATGTTCAAATAGAAAACAGTTATTGTAAATTGTAAAAATATTCCATAATATTACTGTTTTTATTGTATTTTATATAAAGTAAATGCAGCCTTGGTGAGCAGACTTCATTACATTGAAATAAAATTGACCCCAAACTCTTGAACGATAGTATATACAGTATATGTATAGGTGTGTTTACTTATATATTTTTTTTTTGGCTCCAGCACTTACAAAAAATGTTTTACTTCCATGTGGGTGAAAAAAAAAAAACTAGCCAAGGACTGGATAAGAATATATTACCAGCTCTAAGTCTAATCTAATGCCTCACACACACACACACACACACTGACAGTCCTGATGTGAGAGCGGGTGCAAGTGTCAGGATCCCCATCAGCGCCTGAGGGCTGGGAAACTCTTCCTTTTTCTCTTAATTAGCTCACTGGAATAATTTTATTGCCTCTTTTCACAAGGACATGTCATAAGCTAAAAACAGCAGGAGGCCTCGGGAACCTTTTTAATAAAGCTCCCTGAATTTACACAAGAGTTTCCTTTAAAAAAAAGGGTACTTTCTAAAATTCAAAAGAAAGACAGAGAAGAATTTTCTATTTTGTGACTCCTTTGCTCCCATTCCTTCGCATTTTCTTCAGAAATTGTAAGAGTCTAAATTTATTCTGCCTCCCAGGAGGTGGAGATTTATATTTACTGTTAGGGTCAGATTTTCCTCGAGGTACGCTTGGCTACAGCGGATCGTTTCCCTCTAGGAGAACTAGTGAGAGAGAGAGAGCGAGAGAGAGACAGCTCACATCACAGTGGAGTCAGCTGTCTTATCCGCGGCTTGTGTACTGGAACATTAAAGCATGCCAACATATTCTGTTACACCAAATACACAAAATAATGATCTTTAAAAAAGCATCATATGACCCCTTTAAGATTTCACCAAATTTTTCCCCCCACTAAATTTCATTTTAACATTTCACTCGATTTGTAACGAGACACATTTGTAAACCTGTTTTCACAGAGCTTGCAAGAAATCTAAAGCTTGACGGTAAAACTTTTTCAAGTGAAGAAAGTAAAATAAAATACATAGCAATTACAATATCTACCAGCAGGGGCTAACCCCCAAAGCTAACTAGCTAAATCTGGACCCTTTGAGCAGTTTTTAGCATGTTCCTAAAGTATTGTAGGTTGTTAGTTATTGGCTGATTCTCAAGTTCTCAAT